AATTGCCCAAATGCTTGGGAAAGTCAAGATTTCCTAAAGAAAGCATTAGATTCCAAGCGTTCCATGTAATTTTATAGCATTACTATGTATGATATTGGCTTTTCCTAAAGGTTTCCAGCTGTGTAATTGGACACCAAATCCAGTGACAGTGTGCATGTGCTCGCTCAAAACGGACACACCCAGACGTCTCAGCTGAGACAACCCTCATCCCTGGGCACTCTACTTTTAGCTGTGCTGTCTAGGGAGGTCTCAGTCACTGCTTAGCTTGGAGAAGACAGAGGACAAAGTGGAGGACAATGCGAATCTGTGGTTATAGGCTGAAGTAGCTGCCACGGGGGGAAAAAGAGACAGGAAAAGTTAAGATTAGCTACTTATGAAAGTGTAAGCAACTGACGTTGAGTATGCTTTTCGTTTTCTCTGCTCCTCACAGCACCCTCTGATCTAACCATCGCGAAGGGGCAGAGAAAGCCCAGCTCGCTCTTTGGCATTCTTCTTGCCTGCTTTCACGCGCCACTTCCATTTAGGAAGCGAGACCCCAGACCCAGAAGGAAGAAAGCATCAGACATTCTGCAAGAACAAAAGTGTTAACTGGTTAAGGGCGGCTGGGAATGAAGCTCTGGTCAAAACAAGTTTTGTGGTTCTTTTTCCTAACTGTTCCTTAGGGTGGCCTGGCTTTTGCAACTTAATTTCACAAAAAGAATGCCAAACTCTACCGAGATGCATTTTCTGAGGATGGTGCAAGATTTCAGCATGAAAAGGAGGTTAGTCCCCACCTGTAGTATCACTGAGCCATGGGAGGTCCCTCATGCTTCCCGAGACCCGTCCTCATTTCTGTCCTAGGCATGGGCTGCTGTGGCAGCTGGTGGTGGCTCCTTTTTCGTCCCTATAACCTTTGCCAAGCCCACCACACACAGCCGGCGCATAATGGCAGAGCTTTCAGGAGTTTGCAGTTTCCCCACCCAGTGTCAACAAAACCGAGGGGAATGTTGATTAGCAGCAGTGATGCACATCATAAAAATGCGCTTGTGAAACCAGAGATGGAGAAGAAATACAGGCTCCGATAGAGCTGGCCAGGAAGTGTTCAGGGCAGGGCAAATATGCGCATTCTTTACCCACCCATTCTCAGGGCTGCCTACTCACCGGCTCCTACGCTGAAGGACGTTCAGCAACGAGACAGCAAAAAAAGATGACAGTTCCCTGATCCTCTGAGACTTTTTTTTCACGCTCACTAGAATGCACATCTTCTGGCTGAACCAGTTTGGGGTTCAGGCCTGCCAGAGGAGGAGCTGCCAACTCCCTGGAATAATCCCCTGGCACCGTGCTTGGTGGAAAGCAAGAGTGTGTGCATCCACGACCTTTGAACGCCTTAAGTGAACTGCTGTGCTTAATCATCCGCAAATACCACTTGTTGACTTGTTTGTGCTTCCGCAGCGAACGCCATTGCCAGCTGCTTTACCGCGTACGCCACAACAATCTACCCTGAGAGCGACGGTCAAGCCGTTTTTATTCCCAGGGACGGGAAGATGCCATGGTCTGGAAGGCTGCCCTCCCAGTTAGACGCTTCTGAGTTGCAAGAACGTGCCTCCCCTCCACCAGCATGGAAGCTCGGTCACCAACCCAGAATGCGCCAGATGCCGCGATGGGGCATCGACTTCCCCTTCTGGCAAGATCTGTCCAATGTCAGTGATACCCGGAAGTCTCTGCAAATGAGATCAAACTTAGAAACCCGCGTCTGAGGCCCAGGGTCACCGTTTGCCTTGGAAACTGGACCCTAAGGATATAGGTAATTTTAACAGCAATGGCTTGGGAACCGCGGCTACCTTGCCATCCATACTTTAGCGCAGAAGAAATAATTCAATTCTCTGGGATGTCCGCTGTAGAGCAGCCGAGAAGAAGACGTTGGTGGGAAAGGGGCTGGTGGGACGGCAAGGCAGGGCAAAAGGGACGTCTCGACAGACAGGACTGGGGAAGAGGCCTGGGCAGGTCCTGTTTCTGGTTCAATGGAGACTTGTGGCTCAGACAGATTCCCAGTTCTGCCCTTCCCCAGTGTGGGTGTCAAGCTTTAAAGGAGCATCTGGTGATGACCTGATGGAAGACATTTCATAGGAGGGCTTGACTGCTGGGATTTGAGCATTATTTGGTCTGGGTTTTACGGTGAAAATGGGCCCGTTCAAGACTATTCGCAATTCAACAGAAAAAGGGTACATTTACATATAAATCAGAGATCCTACAGTTATTGGGCCATCGTAGGAGAAAATTAAACGTGGATCTAATAGTCTTTGATGCTTAAGCACTATTTCCATTCTTTGCATAAGGGATGTGCTAAGGAAGGCCATTCAGTCATTTCTTATCTTTCCCTGCCATTATAAAAGGAAAATGGGAACAACTTCAGTTCATAAACCATGACAGCTATGGTTCAGATTATTTTTTACAACTCGCATTTATAAAATGACAACATTATACATCTTCTTTGAAGGATTTATAATTTGAAGGGCCGCTATTACCTCCTGGATGCTTTTATTATACTTTTTTTTTTTTAAAACCACCTTCTCAGCCCCAGAAGCTGCCTACGTGACGTGGGGGCCAGTCACAGTGCTCTCTCCCAGCCCAAGCGACCTCACGGGCTGGGTGCTGTGAGGAAAAACAGAGGAGGGAGCGCTGTGCACACCGTCCTGCGCTCCTGGAGGAAAGGCAGATGTAAATCCACCAACAAAGAGCGGAGGTTTCGTACCTGCCCTCCGCTGGGGTGCAGCACAAGCACAGCCACCTGGAAAGTCAGCCCGGGCCAAATTAAATTAGGAGCACGTGCACGTCTGCCTGACCCCGGCAGTTCGTGGCTCTGCCTTGGCCTCTTACTTACTCGTTTACTCAATTCGTATGGCCATCCGTCTCAGACTCACGACTCTGGGTGGCTAACAATGTTCTTGTTCAGACTCGGGCTGGTTTTGGGCTGCCTACACAGCAGCCCTCAGCCCTGTAGCTTCAACCGTTCTGGAGGTTGGAGGGGGGGGAGACCATATTTTCCATCCCCGATAGAAAATTCCTCCTGTCCTTCATCAGAGCTGAAGGGCAAATACAGCCACCGCCCACGAGTCACTGGCAGATGGTCCTGCCTCTCTGACAGGAGACGATGTTCATTTGGTATGTGCTTACAGAACAAGCAGAGGACAATAACATCGCAATGTAGGACGGGCAAGTATGCGCGCACGGGTCTGTGCGCATGTATGCAGAACCATCAGTTTGGCAATTGTTCTCCAACCCCAGCACTGCCGTAATTTAAACAGGTCTGGGGCTTTCAAAAAGAGCGCTCCTTCCAGCTGCACGAAAGGAAGTTTCTACAAAAGGGAAGCTTCAAGGGCCTTTTTAAACCTCGTAGGGCCAAACGGGACTCCAAGGGGTGCGAATCACAGCGGTGGAACCATTGCAAGGTGTTATCAGGAGAATCCCTAGCCATGTGAATTTCCAGCTGAGACCGGGAGGGCTTGGCCACGACAAATAACTACGAACTGTAATTTCACACGTGACCTGGGGTAAGCTGAAACCTGATTTCATCATCTTTACTTATCCTGTGAAAAACAGACAGATGCAACTCCTGCAAATCTGGAAGTCCAAACTTTTAAAAGATAACTTTTTTTCCTGTAGATATTCAGAAACAGCTTGTGCTCCCTACGTACACTTTAGTCATGTGACCAACTGTAGAATTGCTCATTTATTTTTAAATAGTTCCTAACTTTTCTAAAAGGAAGCGCTTGCTTTTGCAAACATATTGGATTATTCGCTGGGGCTCTAAGAGCCCGTCTTTCATGGAACGTTTTATATAAAGAGCAGCACAGATGGAATTTGCTAATTGGAACGCTGCCCTTCCTGCAAACACAATGCCCGGTTGAAAACACCCAAGGGCATCAATCTTTCCCCAAACATTTTCAAATGAACACCCAAAATGTACTTTGCTACAAGCAGTGCTTTGAAGAAAGGTCACAGCTCTGGTTCTTAAAAGTATATCCACTTTCAGATGGAAACCCACAATTTGCTCCAGGGCGTGCGTGTGTGTCCTTTAAGGTGCTTCTTGCAGATATGTTTCTAAAAAAGCATTCTTAATACTGACCATCAGGGAAACTCTAACCTCTGTTTAGAAGATCATGCATTGATCTGGATTGTATAATGCTTAAGAAGAGGCCGCCTCCTCCTCCTCCTCCTCCTCCTCTTTAATTTAAGCGCACAGGAGCCTGATCTGAATCATGATTACTGTGGGCAGGATGAGAAATTCCCAAGGTTCCCCCAACGTCCCTTTGTTGTGAAAAATTCATACTTCCACGCAGGTTTGGGAGTTTGACTTAAAAACACACACATACACATACAGCAGGATGGGGTTAAAGGCTTAAAGGAAAAAAAATAAGCATATGGGATGATGATGAATTTTGCATAAGAAGGAGACAGGAACAATCCACCACCCTATCCTTAATGCCATGATCCTGCCACCGAGATCAAGCCACCGAGCCGGGTGAAGACAGAAGATCAGCTGGAGAAAGTGTCATTTAGGCCCACTTTAACTGGGGCAGCCAGTTTGAACCGAGCTGGGTATGTCCATCAGCTTGCCCAGGAACCCTAACTCAAAGTCTGCCTGTACCCAACACCTCTTTCCATGAGGGGAGAGCACAGAACTGGCGCAGCTCATGGTTCTCGCGCGCTGCAGTCTATTCTGCTTAAGGTGGACCCCAACAGCCTTCCTGTGCACGAGATCCTCCTGTCTTTAGCCGAAACATGGCATTTGAAAGTAGAAACGGAAGATAAAAGATTACGCTCTTTTGGCGGCATTAGCGTACAGAAAATAATACAAAACGAAACTACTAGGCTTGTCATGGCTAACCAATATGAACTGCAGCCAATAAATCTTCATCACTTCCATAAAGGCATGGCATAATTACGAGACAAGAAAGCTTTTATTAGCATCAGTGCCAACCACCCCTATGCCAATGCCAGAACATATTTTTACTACTTACCAATCCAGCTATTGGTGTTGACAGGCGATTGATCTTTTTAATGATGCCAGGTTTGATCTTGTTAATTAGACTATTAAAAAGAGAGAGAGGATTAATCAAAATTTTAAATGTATTGTTTAATTCTAAAGTTAAACAGACATTAACATTACAAAGTAGTCCACATTTTAAACTATAGGAATTGATTAGGTAGGGTAAACTTGTTTTTGCTTCAGCTTTTGCACAGATCAGATACCTGAGATATATTAAATAAAAATATTTTTTAAGCATGGGAAAATAAATGCACCATATAATGAAAGACGATAAATGCAGGTTTTACACAGCTGGCTATCCAAAATACTGGTTTTCAAAACTTCTCCTCCAGGGGATGCTTTCAAGGGTCTGCCAAGGAAGCCTTGCTCTGCTGGAGCAGGAGATTCCTCCCAGATCGTGCACCTGCACAATCCTGGGCAGGCCTCACTACCACTCGGGGTGAATCAACAACACACAGCCTTTTAGAACCGCTTTTGCTGTGGAATACATTTCTGATAAGATTCTGAGAAACTCTGAGTTCCCTGGAACACAGCTAGACCGCTGCTGGCTTAAAGGCATCACTTCTGTTATAGTACCAGAAGGTTATTTTATCTTACACGTATCTGTTCCTTCTGAGAAACAGGACTCAGTTCAGCTGTCTGTGTGAACTAAGACCCCAGAGTGTTGCCAGCAGAGAAGGAAAGGAAGTCTTTACTCGGTGGTACCTCAGACCGACTCGCTATCTAATCTGACTAGGACAAAAGGGTTTCAAAATTCCTCAGAGTAAACCATCATGGCCAGATTCTCACATGACTGGCTTTGAAGAGACCCCAACGTCTCCTAAAAGCAGATTTTATTGAGACCCAAGACAGTCACTATTTGGCTCCTGCTCTGCTAATAATTATGGATAAGTACTTTTATGTAGTGACCAGTGACTTACTATACCTGGTCCACTGAGGATCCTTTCTATCATATGAAACATTTATCGGCAATGATTTATCACAAAAGTCTACCAATGCTTGTTGCTACAGCTGTCAAGTAAAAAGCAGATATGAATCAGCTCCAGTGACATTAAAAACAGGAGGGGGGACCCAGAACGATCCAATATGGTGAAGTTGAAGAACTGCTGGTAGATTCAGTAGCCAAAGCACCATGATCAACTACAAGGCACACAGTGTAAATTAAGCAAGATAGCCCCCATCACCCTGGTACCCAGGAACAATTATCCTTTAAGGATTTGTACTTCCGTGCAACAGCCTGGTAAGAGGCCAACCATTTTCCCCTGTTAGCCCAGCAACGCCTAAGCCTAAGTGGTGATAAGATCATGGAGACCATGGTCTGTAAAGCTAAGGCCCCACATCAAAGAAAGCAAAGCGATCCATCTTCCCAGAAAGCTTTCCCCCCCTTTCCCTTTTTTAAATTTTGTTTTAAAGGGCATCATCCAAATCAGGATACATTTTGCTTGCAAGTGGGTGCTCGCTAGAATAAAGTGAAGCTTCAGAAGGAGGCCCCCATCTGCCAAACACTGTATATTCTCACCTTTCATTGCCTGCCTGCCAAAAACAATAAACACTGCTTTAAAGTTCTTTTTAAAATAAGGGTATTTACTAAAAGCTCAAATGCTCTCCGGAGGAATTGTTCATGCTTTTCAAGCTGTTTCGTTTTCAAAATGTACTGCGTTCTAGATACACTCAAAGGTTCACACTGGATCTCCATTCCCAGAATGTACCCAGATGAAGAAATCGCCAAAAGGAGACAGGAAAGATTGGAGGGAAGACTGCCCTGGGAGACATTTCTGCATTCTTGTAACATGGGAATGATTGTCTGAATTATTATTTGAACAGCAAGATAGTTTGTCAACAAAACTTCAGTTTGTGGGTTTCTGAATTTCTGAAACCAGAGTGGTTTCGTTTTTACAAAAATGAGGTTGCCAAGCATGACACAGGGCAGACGTTTTTAAAAGGAAATAAGATGATCTCAAGGCAACCACGCTTAAAAAGTTGCACTTACTGCTGCCACGGTCTGGATCTGCACCTTTCAGCCAGTCCAGAAACGAAGCAGGG